TTGTAGAATTAGTTTCATAAATTGAAATCATTAGTGTTATTCCTGTTTTTGCTTTTGTTTTGTTTTGGACATTGTCTCTCTACATATTCCTGGGTGACCTGGAACTCTCCTGTGTAGAGTAGGCTGGCCTAGATCTCACAGAGACCACTTGCCTCTGCCTCCCAAGTGCTGGGATTTAAGACATGGGGCACCACTCCTGGTGATTCTTGTACATTAGTACACCTTTTGGTCTCCGAAATAGTTCGAGGCAAGTCACAAAATGTATAGGAAATATTGTAAATATATCAAGAGTCAAAACCAGGTAATTTTCAACTTAAAAATCTTTTAAGTTGCAAAGGTCGTCAAAGCAGGGCATTTTAAAATCCTCCTGATGCCTTTGAAATGGGTGCCTTCAAGATAAACTGGGTCACCACCTTTTCCCAATGGAATATATGATAATATATATAATATATATATATATATATATATATATAAAACTAATTCAGAGATGCAATAAAGGTCCATTTTAGCGCATAGTTTTTATTTTTAAATCTATTAATAGAGTGTTTGGCTGGCTCTTAACTAGTAGTAGAAAGAAACAGCTGAGAGTTCAGCTTAAAACATTAAGGTAGCATAATTAGCTAAGGGTCCAGTGTGTGTTTTGGGGAGTTTTTTGTTTGTTTTTTTTAACACCCATATATAACCTTTTTCTAATGTTTTCACACCAAACCTTTATTTAATAACACATTTTACACTTTGCAGTCATTTTTACTGACTTCAAAAAATGATTTCTTCTTATTTATGTGTATGCCCCCACCCTGCGTGTGTGCATGTATATGAGGGCGCCTGTAGAAACAACACAGGGTCCAATTCCACAGAGCTGCGTTACAGGCAGTTAGGAGCATCTAGGCATGGGTGCTAGGAATGGAACACTGGTCCTCTGGAAGAACTATAAGTGCTCTTAACCACTGAGCCATCTCTCCAGCCCCTTTACTGGCTTTTAATTTCATGTGTGCCTTCAGATTAATGATTACAGACTAATTTTTCTAGTTGTCTGGGTCTATTTATAAATCCATGTCAGGAAACTAATCGGTTAGCAGAGATGGACAGACCACAGGTGAATGGATTGCAATTTCCTTGGCACTTCAGCTGTCAAGGCTAATTATTGTGTTTTGTTTGATTGAAAGCACTGTTGGATGAAGCACATGCCATTCTTGCTTCCACATAACCTGTGGATTTCATAAAGATGTCAGTTTCTCATGTTAGATCCAGGCTCAATCAACACATATTTGTTTATTACTCTGTCTGGCAAACTGAAGTGATTAGCCTTGACCATAGGACAAACAGGACCGTGCTTCACTTATTTCCTTTTGAAAACATTTCCTGGTTCTTTGGCCTCTAGCCTACCCAGTTCCTCTCATGTGTGCAAGCATAAGCATTAAATAGTAAAATTAATTTTCATGAGTGGTTTGTAGAATGACTGTATTTATTAAACAAAGCGAGGTGGATCTGAAATAACCATGTACTTCAATGCAGAAGGCTTTAGAGTGAATGGGGAAAAATAAGGGAGATACTCCTAGGTATGAGTTGAGGTTTATTGTAGATATGAAGGAGAACCCAACCAGAGGCATCTGATATGATCCAGACTAGATGAGAGAGGAAGAGGAGAGACGGGCTAAGAGGCCAGGAGCGGGCCAGGAGGGCAAGAAACCAAGAGACTGGGCAACCAGAATGGCTGAGTTATATAGGGATCAGAGGCTGGATGGAGGGAAGCCTTACCTTGGGCTGGAGAGTTTAGGGTAGGGGACAGGATGAGAAGTGCTGTCAGGGGCCAGGACTCTGTAACAGGTATTGGTGATGCTGAGGGAGACTGGTGGCCATCCTCCACTTTGGTATGTTAAATAGGCACCTCAGCCATTTGTCCTGAATTTGAGACCTAATATAGTATTTTTTTTTCCTCCTTAACTCCATTTATAGGGGCTGGAACTCAGTGGTAGAGCACTTGCCTAGCCTGTGTGAATACTGGGTTCAGTCTCCAACAGCACAAAAAGAAACAAAAGAACCACTACCAGTAAGAGAATTAATAGACATCCTGCTGTTATGGTAATAGTGGAAATGTCTGCTTGTCTTATAACGAATTTTATGGTCATACAAGAATATATGTATACATATATGTATATGGATATATGAACATACTTAGAGTGTACAAGAAGACCATAGGCTTTTAAAAGTTTTGCATTGATTTATTTTTGTGTATGTGTGTAGAGGTCTAAGAACAATCTACGGGAGTTAGTTCTCTCCTTATACCATGTGACTCCTAGTGTTTAAACTCAGGTCATCAGGCTTGGTGGCAGGTGCCTTTGCCTGCTGAGCAACCTTGATGGCTCCATATTTACAGGCTTTAATGGCTTCCTTCAGCCTCTGGGTTGGTATTTGGGGAGGTCATATTGAGGAATCTGGATTTAACTTGATAGATTACTAGAATAGAATTTCTCAAGATAGACTCAAATGCAGGGATAATTAACTGGAATCTGTTATCTTCTGCAGATATAGGCTTCTCCCTCCTTCCAGAGCATAGATCCCCAAATGAAACTCAGCCACTGGAGAATTAGAGGCAAACCGCCAAGTGGTGTTCTTGATCCATGAAAGACACCCCCCACCCTCCCACCCCACTTGAAATTTAGCTCTAAAGTTTCATTGCTGTGTTGCTGTTGCTAAGTTGCTTTTATCCTAGCAGTACTTTGATGTGGCTTGAATGTGTTTAATGTTAAAACAGGAACTCAAAAGTCTGGTTATATACTAACAAAGTAGAACTCTTGGAGCCAAACCCTGACCTGATCTTAACCAAGGGTATTGGAATTATCATTGGAAACATCTCTTCACCCCCTCCCAGGTGGTGAGTTAGTTACCCAAAGGCAGAGTCTGCACTGCTCTTCTCAGCTAGTCTGCAGCAGACCCTTGTGGAACCCTGAGCAGGTATGTAGTGAGAGTTGGATAGAGTAAATGGACATCAGCAAAATAACCGCATCTCTTGGCAACTTTGAACCTGTTTTTAAAAACCTTCAAGAAACAGAATGAGGGGTGCTCTTGTTTTTCATTTTCTTTTTGTTAGATACACACACAGTTAATGGTTATATATCGTTATTTGGGCCTCCATAAGGGAGAATGGACATCACCCAGTTTGAGCTAGCCTACCTTCCTGTAGTTCCCTGGACCTGAGTGGTGAGCAATCTCCTTTTTTGTATGAAGGTCTATTTAGGAAGTGACAATAAATTTGAGGAGCAATGGTCTTGAGTCACTAACCCTTCCTAGTTTTCTTTTGGATTTCCTTAGGGATTCTTCCCATTTTGAATGTCTGCCAGAAACAACACTGCTTTTCAGTATAGGTGCACCTGAACAGGAAATACTAGTCTCTCCTATATTGTTCATGCCTTAAATTTGCATGGTGCTTCGAGTCAGACATCCCCCATCTCGGCCTCCCTTGTAAGCATGTGATCTTTATCCAGAGAGGTGCACCTCTGTCAAGGAGATGCGCAGGTTGAGCCCCTTCCTCCCCATCACATTCTCCTTCCTGTGGATACAGAATCTCCTGCTGCTACAAGGCACAGGGAGCCATGTTATGCTCATCAGCCCTGTACATTTACCTCCTCCCTCCTGATGGCAAGCGTCAGCAGGAGTTTTACCCTTGGGATTGTCTCCTTCAGCCTCCTTAATATAGTCTTGTCCCTATCTGAACTCACACATGAGATGCCAACGTTTGTCTATTAAAAGCCACTTTATTTACATATAGATCTTGCCACACACATGCTTTGTGGTAAGGCATAGGCATATCAACCATACAGCTTTCTTAGAGGCTTTTTCTTGGGCTTTTGTGTTGTCTACTTCTCTTCCCCCACCTTTCCCATCACCACCCACCTCAATCTGTAGTGTCTTCTTTTTTAGTTTCCTAACCTAAATCTGTGGGGATGGCTCCATATAGGAGTTTTGGACACTATGATTGTGTGAAAGTGGTAGACATTCCATAGAAGCCATATTTTGAATTTTGACACTTGATCTTTTCTGGCTAGCAGCACAGAGCACAGGCAGCTGGGCAGGAATGTCCAGCTGCAGCTCTTAGGAACCTGGCAGTCATGAGAGGAAACAGTCAATGTTCTGTAGTGCACTGTGGTGCTCAGTCATGGTACTTGATAGACTATGTTAAATGCAATTTCTACTTAAAGTGTTTTCCACATATGATGAGTTCAAGGCTGCAACTGCATCATGAATTGAGTAATACCTGTATCTTTACAACACTATAGTTATCCAGGATTACCTAGAAATAATGGGATTTTATATATACTTTACAACATCTAGCATTCCTCCCCCACCCCAGAAACTTCCCCTAGAACACCTGACAGATTTCCCACCCTTTGAATGACTGCATAATAGTCCCCCTTGCAAACAGACATTGTATACTCAGCTATGGTTCCTATCTGACTTCAAGTATCAGTACCTTTAGTTGTACAGAAGAGATAGCACATCTATTTTTAACTAACGTTGAAACTTCCAGATGGCCTTCCTCAAAGCCCTCCAACCTTCAGCAGGAAAGTGAATGTGCCTGTTTTCTGCCTCCTGCCTCCTTCCTGATTTTGATGCGTTGTACCTGCCTGCCTTTGGATGTTAGGGCAGTGGATCCAAAATGACATTTTGTTCTTGCCCTCATAGCATTTCCCTGAACATAATTGCCTTTCCACAGACATTTGAATTGCCCTTAACTCATTTGCCTCCTCATGTTTCTTGCTTGGTTTCATATTGGATCATTTGCCTGTTAAAGTTGTCTCCCCCACCACCCGTAAGAACTCTTGGTGTGTTCTGTTGTGATGAGGCGTTCCCAAGGTAGATGGATGCGCCTGGGCTTTCTGCTGTGTTCCAGGTGAAACTGAAATGAACCTGGGCTGTATTCCAGGGCTGGACAGATGTTAGGACTGGGGTTTCATCCTGGATATAAAGTCGTATCATATAAGCCAGAATGCAGCCCACTGTGGAGGACTGAGAAGGTGGGGCAGCTCCATACCATGCTGCCTTCCATCGGTTAAGACCTCCGAGAGTAAAGGGCTGGCCAGGCCAAGGATGTCCCTCCACCACCTTGGAGGGGCAGCACTATGCTGGCCCACATTTTGTAGTGTTGCTTGTCTCTGGCTCAGGTGAAGGACAAAACCCTAGCCAGTGCTCTCCTGTGGTGCCCACTTAACTCTTCCAGCAGACAGCACTTGCTGGTGCTCATCTGAGCACCTTAGAATTTACAGGAAACTGAGCTCTAAGGTCACAGGGACATAAAAGGGTTTACAGTAATGGGTCACCCTTGGCATTGTTAGAGATGCATAAGCAATGTGGACGCTGAGCCCTTGCCACAGGTGAAAGAAATCTGTAGGCTCACATGCCTGTCAAAATGGTGGAGCAGTAGTCAACTCATTTTAAATTTATGAACTAACTTAGATTCGTTATAATAGCATCCCATCTTCTGTTTATGTCTAGTAAGTAAAAAGGAGCCTGGAAAGGGTAGATTCAAGTTAGAAGGGAATGGAGTTCTTAACAACAACAAAAGATAGGGTGCATAGAAAAATTTAGATGAAGATAGATAATTAAACTTTCTAATATTAAATCATGTTCTGTTTATGTTTTAGATTAATATTTAGTCAGCATGCAGAGAACTTGGTTTCACTGTGGCATTTTCATACATAGATACATCTCCACACTTTGTTCTTGTCCCTGTCGCCCATCTGGCTGGTCTTCTTTGTCCCCTAAATGGTTCTACCTTCTGCTCCTATGACATATGTATTGTTATCCTTTCTTGTCCCCTCCCTAGTCCTATAGACTCCGTTCTCTACTTTTTACACCCACGCCTACATAGATACATACCATCTGTATATAAACTTAGTCTACATTGTGTTTCTGAGGGGAAACATGGCACTTGTCTTCCTGAGTCTGGCTCTCCAGTGTCATCCATTTTCCTGTGAATGTTGAAATTTCACTTTCTTTTATGTGTATATACCATGTCTTTATTTATCTGTTGACAGACATCTAAGCGGGTTCAATATCTTCCTTAAAAGTACTTGTGTATTTTTAATTGTGTATTTGGGGGCATATGAACATAAGCAACCCTGGACCTGGAGTTATAAGTGGTTGTCCCCCAACATGAGTGCTGGGAACTGAACTTGAGTTCTCTGCAAGTGCAATGCATGTCCTTCACTGCTTAGCCATCTCTTCAGCCCCTGGTTCCAAATCTTGACTATTATGAGTAGTTCAGCAATAAACGTGGATGTGCAGATATATCTGCGGTGTGTTGACTTTGAATTGTTCAGGCATATAGACACCATGTATGGTACACATACGTCATACAGTATTTATGGCTTTAATTTTCTAAGGAACCCCCTGACAATGATGAGCATAATAACTACACTAATTTACATTCCTGCCAGCCTCAGAAAAGGATTCCTTTTTTTCCCACATCTAGGCCATCATTTGTTGGTGATGGTTTTCTTGATGATAGATGTAAGAGTATACATAAATAAGCTTAAGGAAAAAAAACCACACAAGCATCTCAATAGGTGCAGGAAAATCTTGAGGAAATGAAAGACAGAACATACCTCAACACCTATTGCAATCAGTGATATTGGTCTGTAGTTTTCTTTCTTTGTTGTGTCCATATCTGGACTTAGCACTGAGGGAATGCTGGCTTTGTAAAGAGAGTTTAGTAATTTTGCTTTTTTATTTTATGGAACAGTTTTGAAGTGAATTTGTATTAGATTCTTCTTTTAAACATTTGTTAGAATTCATCAGGGAACCCACCCTTCTTTGTTGAGAGACTTCAAGTGTCATTGCCTGTTACAAAGCTGTTTAAATTGTCAGATCATCTAGACTTTAATTTTGGTAGGTCATATGCAGCTAGGAATTTACTCGTTCCTTCTGAATTTTGCAGTGCTTTGGAAAAATCTTAAAAATTGGGATCTGATGTACCCTCCGTTCATCTCTACTTTTACACTCTGGGGTAGTCTCTCAAAAATATTTTGGTTAAATTGGCTAGAGTGTTGTCATTCTGAGATTTTTTTTCAAAGAACTGACTTTTTATTTTTATAGATTATTCATTCAGTTTACATTTCATTAATTTCTGTCCCTTTCTTAATAATTCCCTGCCATCTACTCCTTTAGTGTTTAACTTATTCATTCTATATGGCCCCAGAGTATATCATTCGCCTGTTTATTGCAATCTGACCAGATTTTTAATGTAAGCACGCAGAGCTATAAACTCTCCTCTTGGAGCTGCCTTGGCTGCATCCCTGAGGTTCTGCTTTCATATTGGCTTAAAATTTCCTCCCTGAGTTTTCCAAGATACACTGTTCATTTAAAAAAACATGTGTGGTCTACTTTCTAAATGTATGCAGTTTCTGTAGCTTGTCTTGCTATGGATTTCCTGTTCTGCTGCACTATGATTTGTTGATTTGTTTGTTAAGACTTTTTTGAGAACTATAAGGAGTCCTGTTTTAAAGAAGGTTCCATGGGCCCCGGAAAAGAACTTAGAACCTATGTCTTTTGGGTGGATATTCTGCATATATTTATAATTTACAGTATAGTTTAATTCTGAAATTTCTTTCATCTTTAGTTTGGAAGATCTGTCTAGAGATGGGACTGAGTATTGAAAGCACCCACTATTATTATTATTATTATTATTATTATTATTATTATTATTATTGTCACAATATTTCTTTTCTTTTATGCCCATTTGCTTTGTGAAATTGGGAACCCAATCATACACACTGTATATGTGTGTGTGTGTATAATACAGATGTTACATTTTTCCTGGTCTTTTTATTGATTTAACATATTCTGTAATTTTACAATCTCTTCTGCTACTTCCTTAGGACCTGGTAGTATGAGCAGTCATTGGCTAGTTCACTAAGCCTTGTTCTCCCTTGGCCATGATGCTTCCTGAGATAAGTCCTCAGAAAAGCTCAGAGAGTCTAAGTATTAGAGAGTTTGTCTGGATCCATACATTTGGTCCATTTCCAACTTATTCACTAAAGAACAGATACCCCTTTTTATGGTTGGGGGGCATATTGTGTGGGTGAATTGTCTTCCTCATGGAAAGACTTAGTCATTGGCCAGTGAGATGGCTCAGCAGGTAAAGCATTTGCCATTCAAGCATGATGATCCAAGTTCAACCCCGAGAACTCATGGAAAGATGGAAGGAAAACACTGATCCCACAAAGGTGTCCTCTGATCTGCACACCCATGCTCTGATGCACACAGACACATCCAAGGCTTGGGCATTACAGTTCTGACTCTGCATTTAGATCCCTTTGCATAGACACTTAAGCAGACAAAGCACATGCTGTTAGTTTTCTTCCCCCACCCTTAACTGCAAGTGCCAAGCAAGCTTTCTGTCTTCCAAATATAGAGAGGAGGGGCCATTTAGTTATAAAGTAATATATAGCAATAAAGAAGGCTAATTATTTGTCTTGTGTGTTGGGTATCTAGAAAATGCTCAGCAAACAGAAAGTGAACTCCAGGTGGGCACTCACTAGTCATTTCCCTGCTACTTAAGGCTGTTCCCCTGGATTTCTTATGGGTCTGTGAGTCTTACAGATTCCAAGCACTGCTCATCAGTCTTGACTTATCCTGTGCATGTGTTTCTACTTTGGAAGCCAGCTTGGTTGGGAACCTCCAGGCTATAACCAGGACCTCAAGATCATTGAGACCTGGCTCACTATTTAATGTAAAGACAACAGTTTAGGGCTCTGCTTTATATTTTGCTAGCTCCTAAAATGTGCATATTTTGAAAGCATATAGTGGTTTCCAGTATGGTCCGTTTTCTTATAAATACATCGTTGTAATCACCACTCCCAATATATAGTGCATGGGATCAAACCCAGGCACTTGTGCACGCTGGGCAACACCTCCAGACCTTAGCTCAGTTTCTTGATATGTTACATGGAGACACTTGTTCAGAAGAGAACACTTAGTGCAAGAAGGACTAGACAGTTAACATCTTTCTTAGACATTGGCATTTACTACTCGAGTATTAAGGAGAGGAGGAAAAATCATATCACAAGGTTTGTAACATAAAAGGGAAAGTAAAATGTCCTCAACTAACATTTATAGGATCTGTGTGTGTATAATAATGATTACTGTTGTGTGTGTCCCGTCCCCGTCCCCCTCG